AGAGCGTGGACGTGTATATATATATATGTTTACGTATATGTATAATAATAATAAAAATAAGTAATTAATTATTAAAATAAATAAATGTATATAATATATAATATATTCATAATTAAATAAATAATAATAATAATATAATAACTGATAAATAAATGAATATATGTATAAATAAAGGAAAACAAGTTTCTGATGTTACTTTAGACAACTTTGTCTAATGTTCATCGAAACGACGTCGTTTTAGAGTTGAAAAAATAAAAAAAATTAGAATGATAAAGACTATTATAACCCTGAAATCAATTAAAATTATAAAAATACCATGATTTCTGTCCCAAAACGACATGTTTCGATGAAAATTAGATAAAGTTATCTAAAGTAATTTTAGAAAAAACAAACCCATAAATAAACTACAGAAAGTAAATAAAACGTTATACATATAAACATATAATGTGGAAGCACCTGATAAACGCTTACGAAAGTTTTTCTATAAACATTTACGTTGATGATTACGTGGTTAGTTATCTGAAAAGTAATGATTACTTAGTTACAGTTTAACTAGTTTTGTTAAAAGCTAACGAAATACAATTCGAACATAAGCAAGTCTCTCTGTATATGTATGTATATATATATATATATATATATATATATATATATATATGTTGCTATCCATAAGAGGAAAAGAAGAAGAAGAAGAAAACAGCGAGAAGACAAAGAGAGAGAGAGAGAGAGAGAGAGACCAAAAAGAAGGGAGGAAAGTGATGAAGCAGAAGGTAACGTTGGGTGATAAAAAATATTTTCTCGTTTTTCTTATTCTTCAAACAATGATGAATTTTCATGCTACTGTCGTCTTGTTAAATTCTTCTCCTTAAATATTTCTTGAATTTATTTTGTTACAGTAGTTTAGTTTTATTCAATGATTTTATTCTTCTACAGTTCCTTCATTTTCTTTTAAATTTGGTTTCTGATTGTCAAGTTGGTTCGTTATTTGGTACCAAATAATTATGAAGAGAATGTGTAAATTTAGTTGATGAAGACTGCTATGAACTGAACCACAGAATTTGGGTTCATATGATTATAGGGTAAGAGACGCCTTATCGTGGCTTGAGCTCCTCCACAATAAATCTTTCATATGCAAGGAACCACAAAGTTGAAAAATTATTTAGCTTCAGTTAAATATTTCACAATGCATTATTTATTGTATTACTTCATTTTATTAAATTATCTGAGAAAATGGTATTTTCCGTTATTACGGCTGGAAATGGTTATAGTTAGAAAATCTCAATATTGCTGAGAATTTTCTCACGTATGTTTGTTTTATGTTAACCTTTCTAGGAAATCATAATGCCTAGTCTAAGCTTATCAGGTGAAGGATGGAATATCAATGTTTACTCTTACGAGGACCACATGGAGTTTTATATTGTAGTAGAAAATCAAGGAGCTGCTGCAATATTCTATGCTGAAAGTGTGGAGACCTACACCTATAGACTAGATTAGGATAAGACTTTTGTATTGTTTAATTATGTGATGCCTGTATGTAAAATATAAATTGAAATGATGTAATATTTAGTAGACTGTAGGACCAATGTAAAATAATTTCCGTATGTACCTGACTTAATATTATCTATAAAGTAGTGTTGGTAGGTAGATGTTTATATAGTTCCCTTTTTAATTGTTCTTATCATCAATAGTAAAATTTAATAAATCAATCTATATTAATTAATAACATTAACACCTTTCTATCTTATTTCTCCTTGATTATGCATAAAGAGAAAAATAATATATAAAAGAAAAATGTAATATTCCTTATAAAAGTTAATATTAAGGGACGTTACAGTTCTCAATTCAGACATGAAGGAGATTCGCCATGTAATTAACAAGAGACCAGTTGATGCATCCGGGCTGGGCTGACTGACTTGGATTGAGTTTTTCTATAATTTATTACATAGTTTAAGGCTTTTCAATAATTATTGATTATTTCCCTTTTTGTTATTTTTATTTTTAGATTATGTCTAAGTGTGCGTTATCTCTTTTGATTTCGCATGATTATAGTTAGGCATTACATTTCTCCCTCTTTTCTCACTCACCTACTTCGTCATTTTCAGTCATGGCGCTCCCATCACAACCTTTCGACCAAAATTCGCGGGTTTCTCTCCCAACCAATGATCGTGCAGCAGTTCGTGTTGAACTCATGCAATGCTCTCCAGAGGATCTGCGCCAGAAGCCTTCTAGATTGCAGGCCCAGCCTTCCCATAGTTCATTTTTTATCGCCAGAGCTTCAATTTCAACCAAAATTATGATTTTTACCGGCATGGTTCGTAATGTTCCATCAGATTATAGATGAAATGAACATCATAACTGGTTCATGTTTTTTTGTTTTAGGTTGAGGTTAACAATCCTCATTTTCACCCTGACTGAGGTTTAATTAGGGTTTATGAGATTTTTTTCTTGTGTTTTTTGTGTGTGTGTGAACTAAGTACGTACATATTACATGTATGATTTTACTTCGTTATTCAATGGTCATTTGGGTCGTCGTACCAAAAATATGTACTTTTTTTAGCTTTGATTTGACCAATTTCTATACTGATGATTCTATGCATTGCTTCTTGTGATCATACGTAAAGCTTTCGTGGCTTTATTAGGATTTTCCTCCAATAATGGGGCTTGCACGAACCTTCATTTTTTGGTGACAGTCTGATAGAAGACACTTTAAAGTTCAAGTGGAGCCATTTAGTTTTAACCATGTTTGTAATTGCGTTTGGAAGTGTCATAGAGTAAGAATCAGATTCTTTAGCAACCTCCTCCCATTTACTCCCTATGTGCGTGGTTTCAAATCTCCCCCTTGGGTGAGCCTTTGACTAGTAGTCCCTTTTGGGTCATCAATCCAAGTCATGACACTAGCGCCCTAACTGAGTTTTGGAGTAACCTATCGTTGCTACTGTTATTCTTGCCAAAAGTAAGATTTTGAGGGTTTGAAATCAGCTTCACTGTGTTAGAGAATAATATAGACATTGAAAATGCCCTCACCCAACACTTTAAGGGTTTGGGTTGAAGTGGTTCTTACATGGTATCAGAGCTTCAGTGATCACAAGGTCACGAGTTCGATTCTTACCGCCCCTCCATTTTCTAGTGGAATTAAAATAAGCACAAGGTAAACCAAAAATCGGGCATGTATAATATTCATGCTTCAAGCTCAAAGGGTTCTTGCGTGATGAGTGTTAGAGAATAATATAAACCATTAAAAAGACTTTTCCCGACACCTTAAGGCTTGGAGAACCATATTATTATTAGGTTGTTTTTTGGTTAAATAAAATTAAGAAAAGAGAAAAGTGTTTTCTTGTAATTCTTGTTTCGTTTTTTCTTTCTGTTTAGCCAATTGGTTACTGCTTCTGTATTATTTGGTATCAGAGCAAATAACTATAATCATGTGCAATCAAAGGAGATAACACACACTTAAACATAATCTAAAAATAACAAAAAGAGAAATAATTAACAATTATTTAAAAGCCTTAAATTATGTAATAAATTATAGAAAAGTCCAATCCAAGTCAGTCAGCTCGGGTGCATCATCCTCCCTCGCTAGGAAAAGATTCACCCTCGAATTTGCTTCGTCTTCATTAATATCAACTTCTTCAGATGGTAACTCCGGTAGAAACTCTTTTGGTACAATATCACCAAATTCCCTAATTAAGATTAGGCCTTGTGAATGCAATTCTTTCTTGATACGCTTGTCTGCATTCATACTAAACTGCTTGGGAACTAGAAATATAGCGAGTTCTTCTAAGGGAGTAAGTGGACAAAACCCATAAACTATTCCAAAAGGACTATTGCCCACAGTTTGGTTCAATGATCGCATCTGTCATCCGCCATTGGGAAATTTTGTCTGATGTACCAGCAAGTCCCATTGCCCTTGACGATCTCCAATTAAACTTTTACCAAAAGCTAAATCTTTATCTCCATGAAACATGAGGTTGTTATGCTCGTTGTCCCCAAAATTATAATACTGCTTGCAAACTAAAGACTTCTTGAATGAAGGATCATTCTGCATGATATCTTTGGGTAGAACTTCAACTTTGTTAGAGATATTAGAATTTCTAATAACTAACTTTCCACCGAAATCACTACAAGAGATTTCTTCCACCTCTGAATTCTCATCGTTTTGCTCCCAATCATACTTATCATAGATAGGGAACTCGTTATAAATTGGAGCATCCATAATAGGATTCTCATCATATTTCTCTTCATCAGATTCATCATAGATCGGGACCTTCTGGTCTTCTGTCAAGTCTCTGATTTCAAAAACCTTTTTGACGGTGTGTAACCCGTCGATAAACTCATTTGGATGAGTGGTGCCCTCGAATTTTGGGATCTCAATCTTCACCCCAATATTAGCAAAAAAGAATTGATTTTCAGGTTGACTTCGTCCTCGTCGCTCCTGGTTCCAGTCCAGAATCTCTTTTCCTCTCCATGAGATGATCTTTCAGATTCCTCTCCTTCATCTGACTCGTCCAACTGTGTTTGGGCAAATAGTTGTTCGAGCTCTTGAATTCGTCTACCTTGTTCTGCCATTGTAGAACCCATTGCTACAATTATGGTGTTTCACACGTCGATGTGTGGTTGTTCTTCGTCGTCGTTAAGGGTGTTACCACGCCCTCTACCACCGCCGTCGCCTCAACCCCGTCATCCACGACCTCGACCGCCATTGTTCTGTTCAGCCATTTATTTGACAACAGAGCTCTGATTACCAAATAATGCCGACGCAGTAACTAATTGACTAAACAGAAAGAAGAACGAAACAAGAATTACGAGAAAACACTTTTCTCTTTTCGTAATTTTATTTAACCAAAAAACAACCTAATAATAATAGAGTTCTCCAAGCCTTAAATAGGCAAAATAAAATAACAAAAAAATAAATAACTCTAATCATGCGCAATCAAAGGAGATAACGCACACTCAAACATAATCTAAAAATAACATCAGCATTTTTTTATATAGATTGGTGAGCGATGAGTGAGAGAGAGAAAGGTGATCATGGGAAGAATCCTGGCAAATCAAGTGAAGAACTTGACATTCTTCAAAGAAGTAATAAGAGGAATAAAGGTGAGGGAGATCAGTTTTCAAATGATGTATCTATGATACCTAGACATGAAGGTTGGATGGAAGATGAGAATGGCCAACGTTCAACCTGGAGGGAAATTCTGATGCGTCATAATGGAGAAGATGATGAATGGGAAGGAGAGGCGTCTGCCGAGGAAGACTTAGATGGGGAGGAACCTGCTGAGGAAGAGGATGTCAACCATGGAGGAATTAAGATGTGGGAGGAAGATTATGGGTGTACTTATTTTAGTTGCACCAAAAGAGCAAGGAAGAGAATGAGGAAACCTTGGGAGAAAGCTCTGATTGTTAAACTCCTTGGGAAGAAAATTAGGGTGGAGTTTATGAAGAAAAAAATAAATGTCTTATGGGCTAGAAAAGGCAAAATCAATGTCACTGATATTGGTAATGACTTTTTCGTAGTCCAGTTTAGTGAGAAGGATGATCTCAATTTTGCGTTGAACGGTGGTCCATGGATTGTTTTGGGTCATTATTTATCGTTGAGGAAGTGGGAACCAACTTTCAGACCTAATAGTGCTGGAATTGCTAAGATTGCTGCTTGGATTCGTCTACCGGATATTCCCATTGAATTCTATGATGAAGCTTTTTTTAGAAGGATTGGAAACTGGTTAGGCAAGATGATCAAGGTAGACAGCAATACAAATGCTCATGTAAGAGGACGGTTTGCAAGAATATGTGTGGAACTGGACCTATCTCAGCCATTAAAGGGTGATTATGTGCTGGAAGGATTTACCAAACAAATTGAGTATGAAGGATTAGGGCTCATTTGTTTTGGTTGTGGGAAATATGGACATAGCACCGAGAATTGTTCAGCTGCTCCAAAGCAACGCAGTTCATCCGATATTCATAATGACGATCAAATTCATCAAGAGGAACCTGGCAACTCAGAATTCCATCGAAGCAAAGGATTGGGACCTTGGATGGTTGTTAACCGTCAACGCAGGAGCCGGCAACCTCCTCAGACGACCGGTGCAGTCCAGCCAGGCGCTGGTTCAAAAACGTTACAAAGGAATAATGATAAGGGAGTTATGACCAGCGATAATCATGGTGATAAGAGAGTTATGACCAGCGATAATCATGACCAGCGATAATCATGGTAATCATGGTAATAAGGGAGTTATGACCAGCGATAATCATGGAGATAATCATGGTGATAAGGAGGAAATTACGCAATCACGGTTTGCAATCTTAACAGCTGGACCTATTAATGAGGAGGATCATAATCAAATAATTAATTCTGTTACTCCTCATATGGGGGCCCCTCAGTTTGAAATTCCTCAGAAAATATGGACTAAATCCAAAAAGTCCAAAGATACCCCTAGGACTAAATCAACGGTTCCTACTATGCATGCGGCTCGTTCTTCAAGCACGGGTAAGAGGTGTCCAGTCCAGAGTGAAAATCGTGAAAATCGTACTCCCGTTCCACCATCTCCATCAATTGCTACTCCCATGGCGGTTAGTCCTATGCAAGCAAATCAACATGATCAGGAAAATGGGATGAAAGCAGATAGCACTTTGAACCAGAATCAAGAGCAGTTATATGACACATTTCATAAAACTGGTCCTGATATATCAGTTGACAACAGCAGCGACATCCAAAATCCTGAAACCTCAACCATCTCTACGTGCATGGAGGTGGACAGAGTTCACCAGGAAGATATTTCAAGAATGAAGGATGCAAGAACCTTGGAGTCTTGCGTTCAACATAGTTTTTAATGAATTTATTCTTCTGGAACTGTAGGGGAGCAGTGAAACCCCATTTTCAAAAATCGCTTTTTCTGTTTACTAGGAAATATAAGCCTAGTATTGTAGTGATTCTAGAACCTCGGTGTAGTGGTCAAAAAGCTTCTGACATTATCCGAAAATCTGGGTTTAAGCATGCTTTTGTTCAAGAGGCAGAAGGTTACTCAGGGGGTATTTGGATCCTCTGGAATGATGAGACTGATCTCGTTGAAATTGTTAATCACACAAAACAGTTTGTTCATTTTAAAGTTCAGAATTTTCATGTTCCTTCCTTTTCTTGCACGGCAGTTTATGCGAGTCCTAGGGAAGAAAATAGAAAGGAGCTATGGGATGATCTGCTAAACATTAGTCTCCATTGTAATGGGCCGTGGTTGGTGGCTGGGGATTTTAATGAAATAGCAAATCGGGATGAGAAGAAAGTTGGCTGTAGAGTTAACTTAAACAGATGTTCCAATTTTGCAAATGTTCTTCATAATTGCAAGCTGCTGGATCTTGGAGGATCAGGTCCTTGGTTTACATGGAAGGGTCCGAAGTTTCTTCATCTTGATCGTGTTTTTAAGAGGCTGGACCGAGCCTGTGCTAATGCAAGTTGGAAGACTACCTTTACTGATGCTGGCGTTAAGGTACTTCCACGGATTTATTCTGATTATAGTCTCATTTTGGTCTACTTGTCTAACTTGGACACAGGTTGGAAAAATCGTCCCTTTCACTTTGAGATTGCTTGGATGGAGCATTATAACTTTACTCAGTTTCTGGCTAGGAGCTGGAATGTTGTGAAAGACACTAGAACGAATCTGCATGATCTGACTCCAAATTTAAAAAGATGGAACAAGATAGTCTTTGGCAACATTTCCAATAGGAAGACTAACCTATTGCATAGTATTGCAGAAATTCAGAATCATGTTGATTATCATACCAACTTATCTCTCCAATCTAGAGAAAAGGAGGTTAGGAAGGACCTTGATGCGGTTCTCATACAAGAAGAGATCTTATGATTTCAAAAAGCCAGGGTGAAATGGATAAATGATGGGGATAGAAACACCAAATTCTATCACATTAAAACAGCTACTCGAAGAAGTTCGAATAGGATTCTTGAGTTAAAAAATTCTGATGGGATTTGGGTGAAGGAAGCTAGACAACTTCATCAATTGGTAACAGATTTCTATAGCAACTTGTTTAGTGAGGAAGTCCTTAATCGTGATTGGGTGAAATCAAAGACTACTTGGCCCCTTCTGCACGATGATCTGCTATCTAATTTGACTCGTAATCTTTCGGATGACGAAATTTCAAAAGCTGTTTTTAGTATCAATGGGTCAAAAGCTCCAGGGGAAGATGGTTTTCCAGCTGCCTTTTTTCATAAGAATTGGAGTCTTATTAAGACTAATGTTATTAAGGATGTTAACATGATGTTTCAGAATCCCAATTTGATTCACCTTGTGAACTCGACTCTTCTGGTCCTCATTCCAAAAGTAAAGAGACCTGAAAGTGCTAAGCAGCTCAGACCAATCTCTTTGTGCAATGTCATTTATAAAATCCTCAGTAAAATTCTGGTTAACAGAATGAAGCCCCTAATGGAAGAGATGGTGTCTCCCTTCCAAGCTAGTTTTGTTCCTAAACGACATATCCAGGACAACATCATCATCACCCAAGAGCTGATCCATTCAATGCGTAGAATGAGAGGAAGAAAATGTTTCATGGCAATTAAAATCGACTTGGAAAAGGCTTATGATATGTTAAATTGGGAGTTTGTTCGTAAAATTTTGGATGAAATTCAAATCCCACACTGGTTCACAAATATTATCATGAATTGTATCAACTCTGATAAGGTCTCAGTGCTTTGGAATGGAGCCATTGCAGGTGACTTCCTTCCTTCAAGAGGAGTTTGTCAGGGTGATCCTTTATCTCCCTACATTTTTGTTCTAGCCATGGAAAAATTGTCTCATCTCATTCAAGATGCGGTTGACAATAAGAGATGGAAGCCAATCTCCGTGGGATCAAAAGGTCCTAAGATAGCCCATCTGATGTTTGCTGATGATTTGATGTTGTTTGCAGAAGCTTCTCTAGATCAAATCAAAGTTATAGTGGATTGCTTGGAGACTTTTAGTTCAATGTCTGGCCTAAAGGTTAGTATTCCGAAATCTAGTATTTTTTTCTCGAAAAATACAGATGCTCACATTGTAGATGATATCACAAATGTGTGTGGCTTCAAGCAAACTCACAATATAGGGAGATATCTTGGGTCCATGATGAAACATGGTCGAGTAACCAAAGACCATTATGCTGATGTTGTTGCAAGAATTAGGCACAAGTTATCTGGTTGGAGTAACCAGGTCTTATCTTTTGCCGGTCGAATTACACTTTCCAACTCCGTTATTTCAGCAACTCCTATATTTCAAATGCAACACAGTCTGCTTCCTGTAGCCATTTGTGATGAAATAAAGAAGTTGCAGCGTGCCTTTATTTGGGGTGATAAAAATGGTCAAAGGAGATCTCATCTGGTTGCATGGGATAATATTTGCAAGCCTAAGAGCATGGGTGGCTTAGGGGTGATTAACCTTCGTGTCCAAAATATGGCTTTCTTTCACAAGCTTGCATGGACGATACTTACTTCGCCCGATTCGTTGTGGGTTCGAGTTGTAACAAGTAAATATAAGAGAGGTTTGGATCTTCGGAGGGAAGTAAATCATAAAGCATATGACTCATACTTCTGGAAAAATCTGTGTAGTGTTTGGCCATCTTTTCTTCAAGCAATGCAATGGGAGATTGGAGACAGTAATGATGCATTATTTTGGACAGACAATTTGTTGGGTTTAACTGAGTGTCTTGCCTCTCTGGCTACTCGTACTCCAACTGGTTTGGAGTTGAATCTCTCTGTTAGTGCCTTCGTGAACATCAATGATCAAGTTGTTGCAAGGATCCAAGCTGCTCTCATTCCTAGCGCATCGGATGGAAATGACCGCATTATTTGGAGAAATCAAAAGGTTGGCTGCTCTTTAGTTAAAACCGCGTATTATAACATGCTTGGTTTCCTCTGATGCCGTTGAAAAATTCTTGGACTACCATATGGAAATGGCATGGGCCTCAACGTGTTAAATCTTGTATGTGGATCATAATGCATGGCCGTTAAAGACCGCACATCTAGATGGAGTGGGGAATCTGGTCATTGTAAAATATGTCCTGGTGAGTTGGAAACAAACCTCCATGTTCTAAGAGATTGTAAGCATGCTAGAAGTGTTTGGAATTCTCTGGTTTCAGCTAATTGGCAAAGCTTATTCTACAGCTTGGATCTTAGAGATTGGGTTGAAAACAATATCTCAAAAGCTTGGAATCAAAGTA